AGTTAGATGCTAGGTTTAACTAGGGCCTAGGCTTAGTAGCCTAGGCCCAAGGAGGATGTCGAGTGGGTTGTGCCAAGGGAAGGTATCGAGAAAGTTGAAAAAAAGGTGAGTTCACTATAGGTTTGCAAGAACATATAGCATGTGAACAACGAAGGTGCACCACCTAACAAAGTTTATAATAACTACACTAACTACAGCTACAGGCAGTTATATATATAAATTCTGACACTTCAACCCGCCGCCATCCGCACACCGCCCCCCGCCCAACCTACCCTTCGATCTCCAAATGTAAGCATAATGTTTTTATTTCTATTTGTTTCAGCTTGAATGTTATTGTTTCGTGTAAACCTCTGATTATTGACTCTTCTGTTTTCGTTTTTCGCAGTGACGATTCTGCTCAAGCCAAACTTCTGCTCAAGCCAAACTTTTGCTCTACATTTGCAAGCCGTACGTGACGCTCCGACACGTTGGGAGTGTTGTTGTTGCCTGTCTTCACGCTGACGTGCTGGTCTGTCGCTTCATTTGGACAACACCTGGAGATCGCCCACCACCGCCTCCATCCATCCGCACGCTTCCCCCCGCCCAGCCCGCCCTTCCGATTTCCAGAGGTAAGCACGATATTGTTATGTCCACTTAATTTTACTTTAACGCACTAGTTCTTCGAAATTCTCCACGTATACTTCTGAATACTGATTCTTGTGTTTGTATATTCGCAGGTGCAAAAGACTTGCTGTTTTCTATCAAGTCCAATGAAGAGTCTGCATCCGAACTTGCTGCTCTCCATGTCAAGTGTTGGACGTTTTGCTCTGAAGCGGTCTGGCGCGGTGGCTGGCGGTGTGACGCTGTGGGACGCGGTCTGACGGGATGGACGTGGTGCTGCCGCATTTCATCACGCTGCCGCGTTTGATCGGGAAGTGTTGCTTCCCTTTCCTTTGTTTTTTCCTCGCTTTCGTTTCAATTTCCTCACTATCATCATCATCATCATCATCATCATCATCATCATCATCATCATCATCATCATCATCATCATCATCATCATCATCATCATCATCATCATCATCATCCACAACCCAACCATTCGTGAATCGCCGTTTCCACCGTCCCTCTGGTCATACGGTTGCAGCCGGACGAAGATCCTCCTCGGTTGGGTAGTTGGGTGGCTAGATTAGATCCTCCCTCTGAAAGCTGCAGCCCGTGACCATGGACGTCCGCCCTCGTTTTCGCTTGTCGTTTTCATATCCATCGCTTTTCACTTTTCGCATTTGTTTTATGCTTGTTCGTTTTTTCCTTAGTTTTTCTTCTTGTCTTGCCGTTTACTAACTTCGAGCCCTCTTCTGTGTTTCCTACCCCCCGTTTTCAGCAATAAGGATCACGTTGTGTGTGGAGGCGGATCTGCAACTGGAGCTGATTAACGAAGGAGCGGATTATTCAAGGCCGGAGCAACCAAGGAGCCAAGCTACCAACCCAAGCAAGCGCTCAACGTAGTGGTAAGTTAACTGTTTAACCCTGTTAACGTTTTCTTCTTAATTTGGCTGCAAATGGTGTTCTTTTTTTTTTTAAGATTTTGATTCTGAAGAGATACTGACTTAATTTGTATTTTTCTTCTTCAACAGGACAAGCCAATGAAGATGCAAATGGCGAAGAAGGAGCAGCCTACGAAGCCATTGGATCTAAGCAACTAAGAAAGCAGCTAAGTGATGCTACTAAGGAAGCAGCTAAACGTGTGGTAAGTTTAACCGCTTAGCCATTTTAACCGGTTTATGTTTAATCAGCTGCAAAATGGTGTCTTCCCTTGAGTATTTGAGTCAGAAGAGTATGTACTAATTCTTGTTTGTGTTTTTCTTAAAACAGGAGCCTACGAACAGCCAACCAAGGAGCCTTCGAGCAGCCAACCAAGGAGCGAGCGGTCTACCAATTCTCCTACCAATTCTCCTGGCGGATCCGCCTTCAAGTCTCCTACGAAGCACATGATGGATGTGCGCTGGGCTGCAACGAGTGGCGGAAGCGCAGGCTGGGCTGCGACGAGCGGCGGAAGAGGTTGCTTGGCAGCGGAAGTGGTTGTTGGGCTGTGTAAGCGGTTGCTGGTCTGCGGAAGCGAAGGCGAGGCCATGGAAGCTGTCAAGTAAGTTTCACTGTCATTTCCTTTGTTCATCCTTTCGTAATCTGGCTGCAAAATGATGTATTTTCTTCAAGATTTTGATTCAGAAGATTATGTACTAATTTTTGTTTGTGTTTTTTCTTAAAACAGGACCAAGGAGCCTACGAGCAGCCAACCAAGGAGCCTACGAAGTGGCGGAAGCGGTGGCTTGGCGGCGGAAGCGGCTGTGCAAGCGGTTGCTGGCGCTTGCACAGGTGGGGTGCGGATGCAGTTGCTGCGCTTCGGAAGCGGTTGCTGGGCGGCGGAAGCGGAAGCTGGGCGGCAAAAGCGGTTGTTGGGCGGCGGAAGCCCCGACCATGGAAGCAGCGGAATGCACCGTTGAAGAATCTGGTAAGCTGTTCACCATCTCACTCCTTCTGCTTACCATTGCAATTGGTGTCTGAGCTTTTCTTAAGATTCGCATTCTGAGGATGTGGTAACATAAATACTCATGTGTGTCCGTCGTTCTCTCTTAACAGGACCAATCAACGACGACGGAAATGGCGAAGGACAAGTCTACGAATCGGCCGAGCACCTTACAGAGCGGCGGCGCAGCCTTCAAAGAAGCAAACTTGAACAGACTTGAAGTAGAGGACGAAGACTACGGTTGCTGGTCGGCGGAAGCGGTTGCTACGCGGCGAAAGCGGTTGCTGGGCGGCGGAAGCAGAGGCTGCGGAAACGGCAACCAAGGAAGCAACAGAACTCTCTGTTGAAGCATCTGGTAAGATGTTCACCGTCTCACTCCTTCCACCGTTTACCGTTGCAATTGGTGTCTGTCAATTTTTCTTGACATCCGCATGTCAGAGGTCCACTGGTGATCCCCGATCGATCCTAGGGAAGGGTTACAGGCACGTTTGCCTGGGGGGTTATGGGCGCACTGACCCGCTACTGAAACAAGCCCTTTTATCCCAATGGTCTAGTGGTTGGGATTCTGAGATGGTATCCAGAGCTTCTGCTAACATAAATACTAATATGTGTTTGTCGTTTTCTCTTAACAGGTTCAGCCAACGACGACGGAAATGGCTGAGCGGACTACGAAGCGGCGGAGAAGCCTACTTAGCGGCGGAGCGGACTACTTAGCTGCAGAGCAGCCTACGCAGCGGCGGAACGGACTCCTTAGCTGTGCCGCGGACTACTCAGCGGCGGAGCAGACTACGAATGGGAGGAGAAGCCTACTTAGTGGCGGAGCGGACTGCAAAGCTGCGGAGCGGACTACTTAGCTGCAGAGCGGCCTACGAAGCGGCGGAGTGGACTCCTTAGCGGTGGAGCGGACTCCTTAGCGGCGGAGCAGCCTACAGGGGAGCGGCGTAGCAGTATACAAGGGAGCGGCGTAGACGGAGGCTGGGCTGCAAGGAGTAGACGGAGGAGGAGCGGCGGACTTGAAGGGAGCGGCGGACTTGAAGGGAGCGGCGGACTTGAAGGGAGCGGCGGACTTGAAGGGAGCGGCGGACTTGAAGGGAGCGGCTAACTTGAAGGGAGCGGCGGACTTCAAGGGAGCAGAGGAGCAGCTGGTAAGCTTCTTCCTGCTTGAGCTGCTTGCTTATCAGTTCGTTTTTTCTTCAAGATTCCTGAAATGTTTGTACTAAATTGTGTTTTTCTGCCGTTTTTCCTTAAACAGGACATCCAAGTGGCGACGAAATGGTGGATGACGGAGCCTACTGAGGAACAGCACCACGCGGCCTTCTACCAACCTATTAATCAGCCTACTACAAGCCTACGAAGCAGCGGCGGGCTTCAAGGGAGCGGCTGACAACCTACAAAGGAGCAGCTGGTAAGCTTTCATTGGTCGCTCTATGCTTGACCTGCTTGCCTGTCGGTTGGTTTTGAAGTTCTGAAGATTCACGAGTTCTGAAGTTTGTATACTAATGTGTGTCTTCTGTTTTCTTGAACAGACGAAGCGGCCTACGACGCAGTCTGCAAAGCGACCTTCTACTCAGCAGCCTTCGACTCAGCAGCCTACGACTCAGCAGCCTGCGACTCAGCAGCCTTCGACTCAGTAGCCTGCGACTCAGCAGCCTTCCACTCAGTAGCCTGCGACTCAGCAGCCTTCGACTCAGCAGCCTGCGACTCAGCAGCCTGCGACTCAGCAGCCTTCGACTCAGCAGCCTTCGACTCAGCAGCCTGCGATTCAGCAGCCTGCGACCCAGCAGCCTGCGATTCAGCAGCCTGCGACTCAACAGCCTGCGACTACAGCAGCCTGCGACTCAGCCGCCTGCGACTCAGCAGCCTGCGATTCAGCAGCCTTCGACTCAGTAGCCTGCGACTCAGCAGCCTTCGACTCAGCAGCCTGCGACTCAGCAGCCTTCGACTCAGCAGCCTGCGACTCAGCAGCCTTCGACTCAGCAGCCTGCGACTCAGCAGCATGCGACTCAGCAGCCTTCGACTCAGCAGCCTTCGACTCAGCAGCCTGCGATTCAGCAGCCTGCAACCCAGCAGCCTGCGATTCAGCAGCCTGCGACTCAACAGCCTGCGACTACAGCAGCCTGCGACTCAGCAGCCTGCGACTGAGCAGCCTGCGACTCAGCAGCATGCGACTCAGAGCAGCCCGAGGAGCAGATTACGAAGCAGAGGCTGCTCATGGTGGAGAAGAGAAGAACCCGTAATCCCAGGAGGGTTGAACCAACCTGCTGCAGAGAAGGGGAGAAGCTACCTGGTGGAGAGGAAAGGAGAGGAGTTGAACCCCTGAACCCTGAAGGGTTTATTCAGCCTGGTGCAGACAAGGGGAGAGGCGGCTGTGGAGAGGAGGGGAGAGGAGATGAACCCCTGAACCCTGAAGGGCTGATTCAGCTTGGTGCAGACAAGGGGAGAAGCGGCCTAGTGGAGAGGAGGGGAGATGAACCCCTGAACCCTGTGGAGGTGGAGTATGGGTTGCGGAAGCGGAGTATGGGCTGCAGAAGCGGAGTATGGGCTGCGGAAGCGGAGTATGGGCTGCGGAAGCGGAGTATGGGCTGCGGAAGCGGAGTATGGGCTGCGGAAGCGGAGTATGGGCTGCGGAAGCGGAGTATGGGCTGCGGAAGCGGAGTATGGGCTGCGGAAGCGGAGTATGGGCTGCGGAAGCGGAGTATGGGCTGCGGAAGCGGAGTATGGGCTGCGGAAGCGGAGTATGGGCTGCGGAAGCGGAGTATGGGCTGCGGAAGCGGAGTATGGGCTGCGGAAGCGGAGTATGGGCTGCGGAAGCGGAGTATGGGCTGCGGAAGCGGAGTATGGGCTGCGGAAGCGGAGTATGGGCTGCGGAAGCGGAGTATGGGCTGCGGAAGCGGAGTATGGGCTGCGGAAGCGGAGTATGGGCTGCGGAAGCGGAGTATGGATTGCGGAAGCGGAGTATTGGCAGCGTAGCAGTCTACAGGGTAGCAGCGAAGCAGTCTATAGGGTAGCAGCGAAGCAGTCTATAGGGTAGCAGCGAAGCAGTCTATAGGGTAGCAGCGAAGCAGTCTAGAGGGGAGCAGCGAAGCAGTCTACAAGGTAGTAGCGAAGTAGTCTACAGGGTAGCAGCGAAGCAGTCTACAGGGTAGCAGCGAAGCAGTCTACAGGGTAGCAGCGAAGCAGTCTACAGGGTAGCAGCGAAGCAGTCTACAGGGTAGCCGCAAAGCAGCCTACAGGGTAGCAGCAAAGCAGTATGCAAGGGAGCGGCGTAGTCGGAGGGTGGGCTGCAAGGAGTAGACGGAGGAGGAGGCTGCGAAGCGGTTGCTGCGGAAGCGGAGGCTGGTTGGGAGGGATGTGGCGAAGCAGTGGTGGATGCGGCGAAGGGTTACGCAGATGGTGGCTGGATGGAAACTCAAGGGTGGCCTAAGAGGTGGCTGAGCTAGTTGGGGCTCAGCCGGTCCTAAGGCGAGTGGCGCGGTGCGAGTGTGATCTCAGCGGTGATGTGATGGAGTAAGGGCCGGTGCTTGATTCGGGCAGTGCAAAGTCGCCCGGGAGGCTTTGCACTGCCTGGGCCCAGAATCAAGCTACCCGGGTACCTGACGCTCCAGGTAGCATCACCGTTGGGGTTGCACTTGCACCACAAGTCAGCACCGCACCGGGGTGGGTGCGGGGGGCTTGAGTCACTCTAAAGAGAAGGGAGACCGCACTGGCGTGGGTGCGGAGATCTTCTCTTACCTCTGAATGATGAGTCCACACTGGCGTGGGTGTGGAAATACTCATTCTAGGTCACCTGAGGGTTTCTGTTTCGGAGGCTTGCGGTTTTACTTAAAGCTTCGCGGCCTTCTCACACTGACGTGGGTGTTGGGGGTTCGTTCACTTGATGTGTCAGCCTGGAGCCACAGGGAGAGGAATGGAGCAGTGGAGGAGAGCCGCCGCCTATGCAGCAGTCGTTTGATGTAGTTGAGGGGAGCAGCCGCTTGGAGCAGTTGAGGGGAGTAGCCGCCTGGAGGAGTTGAGGGGAGCAGCCGCTTGGAGGAGTTAAGGGGAGAAGCCGCTTGGAGGAGTTAAGGGGAGCAGCCGCCCGTTGCAGAGGAGAAGAGGAGTAGCATCCATCCTGGTGCAGAGGAGAGAGGTGCCCCCAAACCCTGAAGGGAAGAAGCAGCCGCCTTGGTGCAGAGAAGGGGAAAAGCATCCATCCTGGTGCAGAGGAGAGGTGCTGCAAAAGAGGAGAGAGGTGGTGCAGAGGAGAGAGGTGGTGCAGAGGAGAGAGGTCCATCCTCCTCAAAATTTTATCCCTGCCCACGATGAAGATGGTGGAAGGAGGGGCTGCAACATCACCATCGCAACCCCCTCCTTCCGACCTCGGGAGGCGCTGCTTCCGATTTGGGGGGGGGCGGGTGGTGGGCTATGGGAAAGGCTCGAAATCACCTCTTAGCTCTAGCCTAACCCTAGCGCTCCAAGGAGGTGCCTGCCTGTCGAGCAGGGCCGGTGTGAAGCAGCCTGGTGCAGTTAAGGAGACAACGGGAGAAGCAGCCGCCTGGTGCAGAGAAGGGGATAACTCCCAAACCCTGAAGGGGAGAAGCTGCTAAGGGGTGGAGTTGGGAAGCTGCCAATGGATTTGGGAAGCTGCCAATGGATTTGGGAAGCTGCCAAAGGATTTGGGAAGCTGCCAAAGGATTTGGGAAGCTGCCAAAGGATTTGGGAAGCTGCCAAAGGATTTGGGAAGCTGCCAAGGGTTGAAGGAATTGGGAAGCTGCTAAGGGGTGGAGGAGTTGGGAAGCTGCAGCAACAGCGACGTGCATCAAGAGCAACCATGGAGTTTTTTAGCCGAGCGTACGGCACGCCCCTCGTCTTTTGAGGAAGTCAGCCCAAGGGGATGTGGCGGGATGGATTTTTTTATCCATGACTCGCGCGCGCGCTGAACCAAAAAAAAAAAATCTTGGGAGACTGAGTGAGTGCAGTGGAGATGTAGCCGCTTGGTCTAGAGAAGGAGAAAGGAACCCCCAAACTTGAAGCAGTAGTGAAGGGGAAGCAGCAGTGAAGGGGAAGCAGCAGTGAAGGGGAAGCAGCAGTGAAAGGGAAGCAGCAGTGAAGGGGAAGCAGCAGTGAAGGGGAAGCAGCATGAAGGGGAAGCAGCAGTAAAGGGGAAGTAGCAGTGAAGGAAAGCAGCAGTGAAGGGGTGATGCAGTGATGCAGTGAACAAGTGATGCAGCGAAACGGAGCAGACATGTACCCAGTTACCAAGCTACCAATAGCAGTTACCAGCCATAGAATCTGAGCTTTCTATTCTCCTTGCACGTTGTACTAGGTTCATTAGTGCATTACTCACGCAGAGCCCTCTATCGTATGTTATGGAAACATTTAACTACAAACAATTTACCCTGGTTGGCTTCGTCTAATAAATTATATTTTTTTAAAGTGTATTCACTTTCTAAAATTTATTATTGTGATAGTGAAGTGATTGCCAACGCAGCAAAGGCAGTGTCGCATCGCTACTCGCCTTCTTTTGGCTACAAAAGAGGGGTTGGAGGCCATTTGACCTCACCCACGTTCTTCTTTTCAGATTTTTAGTTTGAGTTCCGCTCAATCTCGTCCAATCTGACGAAGACTCAGTCACTTCCTGTCAAATCATAATGTTCTGTAGGCTATAGTGGGGTAGCCCATATGGGGCACACATTTCTAGGGTTGCATATTTGTACCACTTTCCATTCCTTAGTGCACCCATTCTCGTTTCAATTCTCACATGGTATCGAGCAGGTTCCCTCGTGGGAACTGTGCCTAGGGCCCACCAAGTCGAAAGTTTTTTTTTTTCTGCCCGGAGCGCGCTCTGCCCGAGTCGCGCTCCCTTCTCTGACTTCGTCGAGCCGCCCTAGCGGCCAAGTCGCGCCGCCTTAGCGGCCCCTGATTCGTCGCCCTAGCGACCCCGTCGCCCTACCTACGACCCCGGCCCCGTCGCCCTACCTGCGCCTCGGCCCCGTCGCCCTACCTGCGCCCCGGCCCCGTCGCCCTACCTGCGCCTCGGCCCCGTCGCCCTACCTGCGCCCCGGCCCCGTCGCCCTACCTGCGACCCCGGCCCTGTCGCCCCCCCCCCCCCCCCCCCTTGCGACCCTGGCCCCGTCGCCATACCTGCGGCCCCGGCCCTAGCCCCGTCGCCCTACCTGCGCCCCGGCCCCGGCTCCGTCGCCCTACCTGCGCACCAGCCCCATCGCCCTACCGTCGACCCGGCCCCGTCGCCCTACCTACGGCCCGGCCCCGGTCCCGTCGCCCTGCCTACGGCCCGGCCCCGTCGCCCTACCTTCGACCCGGCCCCGTCGCCCTACCTACGGCCCGGCCCCGGCCCCCTCACCCTACCTACGGCCCGGCCCCGGCCCCATCGCCCTACCTTCGACCCGGCCCCGTCGCCCTACCTGCGCCCCGGCCCCGGCCCCGTCGCCCTACATGCACACCGGCCCCGTCGCCCTACCTTCGACCCGGCCCCGTCGCCCTACCTACGGCCCCGCCCGAACTGCCTACGCAGCCGAGCCGCCCGCGCCGCTCAGCAGTCCGAGCCGCCCGTTCCGCCCGAGCCGCCCGAGCCGCCCGAGCCACCCGAGCCGCCCGAGCCGCCCGAGCCGCCCGAGCCACCCAAGCCGCCCGAGCCGCCTGAGCAGCTGAGGAGCCGAGCCGCGGGTGCCGCCGAGCCGCAGTTGCTGCCGAACCGCCCGAGCTGCCCGAACCGCCCTGTCTGGTGAGCGCAGCGCCTCTGTCACTGCACTGCCCCTGCTCTACAGTCAGCGCTGCTAGTCTACTGTGGTCATGGCTACCCCTAGTGTCCTCGCTATTGACGCCGAGGGTCGAGCCATTGACTTTGACGTCTGGGTAGATGACCTGCAGCTGTTCTTACAGTGCGATAGGGCAGACGGTCTCTCCCTCTTTGACCTCACCTCTGGTGCCTCTCCTGCTCCTGCTGCTGATGCTGACGCCACTGTTTGCTCACAGTGGGCCACGCGCGATGCTGCTGCACGTCTTGCTGTGCGTCGCCACCTCCCTACCTCTGAGCGTGCGCACTTTAGTCAGTACAAGAGTGCTCAGACCCTGTACGACGCTGTAAATGCACGCTACTCCTCCCCTGCCACTGCTGCACTGAGCCGTCTCATGCTACCGTACCTCTTCCCTGACCTTGCTGCCTTTCCCACAGTCGCTGACCTCATTACGCACCTCCGCACTAGTGACACTCGCTACCGCGCTGCGCTTCCTGCTGACTTCTGCGCCAAGAACCCCCCCCCCCATGTACATCACTCTCTACTACATAGTCACTCGCCTCCCTGACTCCCTTCGCGTAGTCAGGGACCACTTCCTCTCAGTCTGTCCCACCACTCTCACTGTTGACCTCCTCGAGAAGTCCCTCCTAGCGGCCGAGAAGAGCATAGTCGCTGTAGGGGCCTCTCGTGGTGACCCGCGCACCCCCATCTTTGAGGGGTGTTCCCCCTCCCCCCTTCTGCCCTCTGTTGCCTCTGCTGCTGCGGCCGACCTCCTTGGTCTTGAGTCGGTCGGTGCGGCGTCTGCCCCTAGCGAGAGACGCCGCTCTGGCAGGGGCAAGGGGGGCAGGGGCACTGGAGGAGCGAGCGGGGGCGGTGGAGGTGGAGGTGGAGGCGGCGGGGGGAGTGGGGGTGGCGGTGGGAGTGGAGGTGGGGGTGGAGGTGTCGGTGGCGGCAGTGGAGGCGGAGGCGGCGGCGGCGGTGGCGGTGGGAGCGGAGGTGGCGGAGGTGGTGGCGGTGGAGGAGGAGGCGGAGGCGGCGGTAGTAGCGGAGGCGGCGGAGGCGGCGGAGGCGGCGGGGGTGGTGGTGGAGCTGGTCGCGGGTCTACGCGGAGGAGTGGCTCCGGTGGTGGTCCGCGCTAGCAGCAGCAACGCGGTCGTGAGACCTTGTCCCCTCAGCAGCTCCGTGAGTGGTACACTGCACGCCAGCGGGGTGGGGGCTTTGGTCCGTGCACCTACGTCCTGCGCACCGGCGACCGTGCGGGTGAGCAGTGTGGGGGTGCGCACCCCACCCAGCGCTGCTTTGGCCGCCTGACGGACGCGTGGCGTCACCAGTTCCCGGAGGCCACAGAGATCCCTCGCTGGGGCGAGCTGTCTAGGGCGGGAGTTGCCATCTATGATCTTGATTTTGATGCTATCCTTTCTGCCATGTATGCTGTGTCTATTAGTGATGAGGGTGACTGTTACCGGTGTTTCCCGCCCGACCCGGGCATTGAGACTGCTGATCTAGGTACTGGTGAGGCTGCTGCTCTAGGTGCCAGTGAGGCTGCTGCTCTAGGTGCCAGTGCGTCTGCGTCCTCATGTGCTGGTGAGTCTGCGCTCGCAGGTACCGCGTCGACTTCGGCCTCCCTCACCTTCACACTTGACTCGCTCCTTCTTTCGAGACCGCACCACACTCACGCCGCTTGGTCGGCCGGTTGCAGTCTCCCTGGCAGACCCCTCTGGGGGTCCTGTCCTTTCTCACTTCTCCACTGTCCTCCCGTTTCCGGCGGCCCCCTCGGGCACCTTGTCTGGTCTTTACCTCCCCTCGTTCTCTACGAACTTGGTGAGTGGTGCTGACCTACAGGATGCGGGGGTTCACCAGTTTACTCCTGCGAGTCAGCGGTTGACTCACTACTCGGACGCTCGCACAGGCCGGCACCTGGCCACGTTTACGCGTCGGGCGGGGTCGAG